GTCACCAGGAGAAGGTGGTGTCACCAGGAGAAGGTGGTGTCACCAGGAGAAGGTGGTGTCACCAGGAGAAGGCGGTGTCGTCTGCAGCTTGGACGCGAGTGTTGCTCGAAGGTTGTGTCGGCAGGGAACGAGAAGGGGTATTGTCAAGGTGTAGCCAAAATTGGGTGTTGCCAGGGCCTCAAAGGAGGGCGCCGTCATCAAAAAAGTGGTTTCGGCAGGGGACGGTAAGAGGGTGTTGGCAGATGGTCGCGTAATGCACCGTGGCGGGGACACCTTACGATGTGACAAAATATCCAGAACTGACTCTGGCTCTCTATGCTGACCTTGCAGGGCATGTGGTGTGAAGCTCGCAGAACCTGTGGTGTGAGGCGTGCAGGCTTGCCGGACTTGTGGTTTGAAGCGAAATCGGCTTCCAGGACGAGTGGTGTGAAGCTCCCAGGACGTGTGGTGTGCAACCAAATCGGCTTCCAGGACGAGTGGTGTGAACCATGCAGGCTTGCAGGACGAGCGGTGTGAAGCAAAATCTGCCTACAGAACGTGTGGTGTGAAGCCTGCAGGATTGCAGGATGTGTGGTGTGAAGCTCGCAGGACATGTGGTGTGAAGCTAAATCGGCTCCCTGGGCGAGTGGTGTGAAGCATGCAGGCTTGCAGGACGAGTGGTGTGAAACAAAATCGGCTTCCACGTCGAGTGGTGTGAGGCTTGCAGGATGAATGGTGTGAGGCATGTAGGCTTGCAGGACGTGTGGTGTGAAGCATGCAGGCTTGCAGGACGATTGGTGTGAAGCATGTTGGCTTCCAGGACGTGTGATGTGAAGCTCACAGGACGTGTGGTGTGAAGCACGGGATGCGAATGGGGCAGAGGAATGCGGGAGGAGGCAAAGAAGGATTGCAGCCGCTTCTGGATCCCACCACACGTCCTGCGAGCTTCACATCACACGTCCCGGCGCCCATTCTGTTTCACACCACTGGTCCTGCGAGATTCACAGCACACGTCCTGCAATCCGGCTTTGCTCCACACCACCTGTCCTGGAAGCCGATTTCGCTTCAAACCACACGTCCTGCAAGGCTGCATGCCTCACACCACAGGTTCTGCGAGCTTCACACCACATGTCCTGCAAGGTCAGCATAGAGAGGCAGAGTCAGTTCTGGATATCTTGTCACATCGTAAGGTGTCCCGCGCCACGGTGCATTACACGACCATCTGCCAACACCCTCTTACCGTACCTTGACAACACCCTCTTCATGAAGGCTTGCAGGAATTGTGGTGAGTCGCAGTAATCGTTGGGCGGGCCTCATCCTGGCTTCCCCTACCGCCCCGGAGTGGAATGTGGCAGGAGACAAATAAGGATTGCAGCCGTTTCTGGATCGCCGTTAACGACGATTTGTTGCACATTTCCCAGGACAGGGGGTCAGACAAGGGTGGTACAAGGGTGCGACAAGGATCCGGGCCCCCTGTTATTCAGCCCGCCCCCAGCTTCTTTGCTTCACACCATCATCATTCACCTCGCGATTCTCCACACCGTCGCACTAGACACCCCTGTTCACGCTTGCTTGCAACGCTGACAGCCTCGTCTGAGCGCCGACAATGGCTCATTCTGGGCGTAGTCCTGCAGTCGGTGGGCGGGGGCCAATTCGCAACTTGGCCGTTCATCCTTCCATCGTTGAAGCCCGCTGCAGTGTGTCGAGGAGCCGAAACTTGCGTCACATAAGAATTAGGTAGAAACGGCCGCGGAAGGGTCTAGGACCGACGCCCCAGACCCTCTCTGTCCAGTCTGCTCTCTCACCTTCTCCCGTCGCCCACCTGCATCGTACTTCACTCTCAGTCTGCGAAGAAGCAACGTTGAACAGA